ATATATATATATATATATATCAATATATATATATATATCCAAGTATATGATTATATATATATATATATATATATATATATATATATATATATCATATATGGTGTATTATATATATATATATATATATATATATATATATATATATATCCAAGTATATGATTGGTATATATATATATATATATATATATATATATATATATATATATATATATCCAAGTATATGAATATATATAAATATATATATATCCATATTATATATATATATATATATATATATATATATCTTTATCTCTCTCTTTCTCTCTCTCTCTCTCTATATATATATATATATATATATACTGTACTCAACAAATGAGTATGACAATTTTGGTCAATGTTTTTGGTTCTTGTGAGAATGACAAGAGCTCCTGAAACCTGCATGTGATTTTCAAAGCTTATTGCAGATATGGCAAACTATGTTGTTTTGTACAGGGCCTGGCCTGTTTTATAAACTCTCTTCAGCTTGTTCGTGTATTTTCATGTGACAGGTGAGGCCAGAACAGTTTCTGCAGGTTTTCTAACACACACTACCTGTTAAATTATTCCCAGCCTTAAACTATATTTAAGTTATATATATATATATATATATATATATATATATACACACATATTCTCATAAGAAATATTACTTACTTCTTTATATATATATAAATAAATATATATATATATATATATATATATATATATATATATATATTATATCAGTGTTCTGATAAATTTCAATTTGCTAACTTGTCATTCAACATAAACACTTTGTTTCCCACAATCCCTGCAGAATTCTGGCAACACCTTCATTTTAACTGCTGCCAATCGAACTCATTTCCCAAATCACTTTGGCTCCAAACTAAAATGTCACCATCGCTCATTGATTGCTATCTCAGCAGAGTGATATCTTATGCAGGCGTCAGTTGCAATCCTTCCACTCCATCATCTGCAGAGAGGTGTGTGAATTAGAGGCTTTTGTGAGGGAGAGAGATTCTTTGACTTTTTCCTTCCCTTTCATTGCTCCTGAATTCCCAAATTGGCATTCACAATGTCTGTATTGGACCTAGTTTTTTTACTGTTTTCTTTCTTTCCTTGACTGACTGCAAACAATATGCTGAAATTAAGAAAATATCACAAGATAAGGATATTAGTCGTCAAAAATAAAGAAAGAGTTAGAGGAAAAAATGTTGGAAACTGTGACTGTTATCAATCAATGCTTTAATTACTAGTTTCTCAAGTCATCAGAGCTGTTTTTGTTTCACAGTCAGTGCTCAAAGAAAATAACCTTGTGGCAATCTTGGATTTATTTAAAAGTTTGTTTACATAAACATGGATATGCAAATGTGAATACATATATTTCAGGACACGTGTGTGCATATATATATATATATAATATATATATATAATTATTTATTTGAAAATTATAACATAAATAAGTTATAAAATCACTACAAAAATAATGGTAATTTTGAATTTTGAATTTTATAGTAAAATTTATTATTAATTAGTTAGAATGAATTTTACTTTAGTCTAACCCTAACATTAAAGTATTAATTAATTATTATAACCATGGTTCGTTGTCAAGTGTTTTGAATTTTCATATACTTGCATTTTTATTGGTTATTCCAGCTTATGTAACAGCGTTTCCCCTTAGCGAGGGGTGTTTGATTGATTTGAACCTTTTAAAGCCCTTTATTCTACATTCAACATCATCACATGATAAGACACCAGAAGTGTTGAAAAAAATGGCTATTGTTGTAGTGATTTTATAAAATATTTATGTTATAATTTTTGAATAAATAATGAGATTGGCTCTACTCTGTACTGAGCACTCTTTTAAGAATATATATATATATATATATATATATATATATATATATATATATATATAATGTCAATTCCATAAGTGATGAAACGTGATTGAATCAATCAGATATAATCCAAGTAGGTCTTTTTATATATATAAAATATTAAATATATAATGAAATTCCATGAAGAAAATCCAAGTAGGTCATATATGTATGTATGTATGAAGAAAACTGTATGTATGTGTATGTATGTATGTATTTGTATGTTTTTGTATGTATGTCCATATTTGTATGTTTTTTTTACACACACACACACACATACACACATACATATATATATATATATATATATATATATATATATATATATATATATATATATATGATGTTTTTATAATTATGTAGATGAATTAGATATAATGAATTTAAGGTTTTGATATTATTTATTTTCCACTCTTTTTATATATATATATATATATATGATCATGATTTTTATTGTATTGACATAGATTAGATGATGACGATATAAATTTTGATTTAACTTCAATGTATTTCACTAGCTGTCACTTGTATATCCTCATTGTGCTAGTACCTTGCTTTTCCTTTTTTTCCCCCTCACTCCTCATTTCTATAATGTAAATCCCCAGGAAATTTTTCTATGTCAAGTAATTTAGACAGTTACTTCATTTTCTCTCGTGATTTAACTTTGAAATAATTTTTAATAAATTGTCTGGGTAAATTTAAACCATTTTGTAATTTTGGTCTGACAAGGCAGATATAAAAACTTATCTGTCAAAATAAATTTATCACTGAATTCTTCAATGATGTATTTTTCCCTTCTTGATGTATATATTCATACAAACATGTTTTAATAAATAATATAGACATATTATGTCCATTTATTTTTATAATAATTCTTTCTAGTTCTCTAATTAGCTTCTTGAAATTGATCCATAGTTTTTCTTACCCAAATACTCAGGTGTGTATTGCAAATACCTACTTATTGTAACTGTGATCTTTGTGGTAGTGATTTTTGAAAACAAGTGTGTACACATACTGTTATAATTAACTAGAAATAATTATTATAAAAATAAATAGATATTCTTTATCTATATTATTTAATGAAACATGTTTTAATGAATATATGCTGCCTAAATACACACACACACACAAACACACACACATATATATATAGTCCATAGAATCACTTCTTCCGTCTGTACCAAAGCGGCATGTCCAATTTCAACAGATGTCTCTTTATCTCTGCATGTAATGAGTGTGCCCTCAATGAAGCAAAGTTACTATTTGCTGATAGAATGATATAACATATTGCATCTCGCAAGTTTGCTTCTAAAGATTATTGGTGACTCTGCAAGTGTGTGCTGAACAACAGCAAATCCATAATACCTCCTCTATTCAATCAATTTGAAGTCCTAAGTTCCTCAGCTGATAAGGCTGAATGCTTTCCTCTGAAATTCTCATCCAATTCAACACTTGACTCATCCAGAGTACCCACACCTGATTTTCCCCCAGATCTGAGGCTCTATTGAGTGAGATGAGCATAACCCCATCAAAGGTATTGGACATCATCTCTAAATTAGACTCTCATAAAGCAAGTAGTGATAATGGGCCATGGTCCTAAAGAAATGTGCTCCAGAGCTGGCTCCAATTTTCTCTAAATTATATAACTATTGCCTCACTGACTCTTGCTTTCCAGCCTGTTGGAAGTCCTTATCTGTTATCCCTGTTTTTAAGAACTCTGGAGACCTTTCTGAACCATTTAACTACTGTGCCTATCAGTCTCCTACCACTCTTCAGCAAAGTCTTTGAGGCTTTAAGGAACACAAATTTACAGTGTTTGAACAAATTATCATCTTGTACTAAAATCCTCCTGGACTCAGATATAAATAAATAACGTGTAGAAAATGAACATTTTTAAAATTTGGGAGCAAAAATATGTGAAAATTTAGTTACTGATATTTCATCCAAGAAAACATTTTGGAAGTGAACCAGTTTCACCTCTCTCTTATGAAAAATTGATTGAGAATAATAAAATAAAAGAACTTACAGACTCTAAGTGGAAATTAGCAACATACTACCTTATAGAAACACAGAATATTTATACACAGATTACATTAAGTCCTTGAGGTATTCTTTCTGTTTACAAAGGGAAGGCTGCCAAGATTTAATAAAAATTGTGTATACTAAATTGGCAAGTAGGTCTCACCATTTTACTGTTAAATAACTAAAGGTAACCATAAATTCTATTGTGATAGTTTTTTTTCTCACAGTTCTTACCTACAGATCTTTCTTCCAGTCCCTTGCTTCCTTGCCATTTATGATCTTCAAACATTTAAATGCAATGTAAATCATCATCTTTATTATTCTTTTACTTTCTTAAAGATTTCTCATTCCTTTTCACTTTCAGTAACTTCCTTGCATGACATTATCACTTTGCTTAGGGTGAAATGATTAAAAAAATAATTATTGCTGTTTCTATTCCTTCAGTAGAATTTATTGTATTTAATAATGACAACCATAAAATACAAGATTCAAAAAGCAGTTTTATATCTAATATATTTTATTTAGGGAAATTTGAGCTTGAGATCAACTATTGAACAGTATATTACTTCTTTTCACTTGAAATTGATCCACCATTTCAGCTCAGTTATGTTAAAACCCAAACGATGCTCAAAAAGCCTCAAGGAATCATAAGGTTAACATTTTAAAAGGATTGATATTTACTTTTTTGAAATTCAAGTACAGTTTAACATTGGGCAGTTTTAACATTGGAAATCTTTTACTCTCAAAAAAAAAAGGTAAAAGAAAAGGAATTCCTCCAACACATGATTCTGGTATTACCTCTACTGGCCAAAAACAAAAAAAATCTGCTTACAGCAAATCACATAACTCCTTCAGTTCTGGGGTGAAACACTTGAATTGATTAAATACTGAAGTCTACAGATTAAAAGACAGACTGGCTCCATGGTATTTAAATGATGTCATTTGACCCCAACCCATTCCAATTCTCAAAGAATAAGGATTTTGGTCACTCCATCGAGAATCAATGGAATCAGATTACAGACAAGCCAAATAGAATCACAAATATCAGTTTCTTCCCTGGAAAAAGATACATGAAGATTCTTCTTGGCCTTTAAAATGCTGACAATGCATTTACTGTCTATCTATCTATCTATCTATCTATCTATCTATCTATCTATCTGTTTTTATATTCTTTTATCTATCTATCTATCTATCTATCTGTGTGTTTGCTTCTTAGTCTTTCAAACTGATTTTTGCAACAGATTTCATGCAAGTTAATGTTTCTACTGGATATAAAGTGGGGAATCGGTTTTCTATTGTTATTAAGTAATAAATTTATCCCCCAGAATAATTACACTGTCAGATTTTATTATGCAAGTCAATGTTTCCATATTAAAATTGATATTAATCAACCAAGGTTAGGAATTTTTCAAGATATATTTATGTTACATATTAATATAAATTTCTTCTGAACGTAAAATGGGAGATCAGTTTTCTATTGTTAAGTAATAAATGGATCACCTTCTAGAATAATTATACTGTCAGATTTTATTATGCAAGTCAATGTTTCCACATTAAAATTAGTATTAATCAAGCAATGATCAGAATTTTTCAAGATATATTTGTGATACATATTAATATAAATTTCTTCTGAACATAAAATGAGGGATCAGTTTTCTATTGTCTTTAAGTAATAAACTGATCCCCTTCTAGAATAATTACACTGTCGGATTTTATTATGCAAGTCAATGTTTCCATGTGAAAATTGGTATTAATCAACCAAGCATAGGAATTTTTCAAGATATATTTGTGATACATATTAATATAAATTTCTTCTGAACATAAAATGATGGATTTATTTTCTATTGTTATTAAGTAATAAACTGATCCCTTCCTAGAATGACTATACTATGTTATATTGGCCAGAAAGGACTGCTTTGTAATTTTAAAATATTTTATGAGCCTTTTGTTTTGCATATCTATACACATATTTACTTACCAATATAACCCATAGATATAATTTAAATAGAATTTATATGTCTTATACATATCTATATAAATAAAGTGCAGTGTACACTTGTGTCTGTTTGTTTGTGGGTTTACAGTAAATTGCTCACATGTCTTTCTTTTTCTAGCACATGTACTATGATGTATTCAAAATACTACATATTTCTAGGTTCCTTGATGTCTTTTAATTGTGACTTTGAGATCAATTGTGTATACAAAGAAAGATTATGCAGAATTAAGTTGTCGAATAAAGATAAAATAATTTTATTACTTCTAAATTCTTATAACATTTATATACATAGGACACTGGAGGTAAATGGCCAAAGGTGCAAATGCCCTCCGCAGGAGCTAGCCTAAAGTCTGCCTGAAGTGTGGCTTCTCGGCTAGTTATTAATATAATACACATCTACACACACATGCAATTCAGAAACACACACACACACACACACATATATATATATATATATATATATATATATATATATAGCATAATGAGAAGCCACGTATACTTTCTTAATATGTATATATATAGAAAAAGTTTCAAATTGAAAATTATAATGTTTTATTTTATGAAATATTTATTTATTTATATATATATTTGATATTTCAAATTGTCCTCAATTTTTCATCAGAAATAACTGTTTGTTACAAATAAATTAAAATTACTGTTTGTTAGCAAGTACGTCCTTCGCCAAATCTGAATAATAAAAACATGTCACGTGATATGGAACTATCACTGTTCGGATATTCTAACCCAAATCTGTCATAAATATTTAAAACAATTTTTTTACTATATCTAAAAAAAAAAAAAAAAAAAAAAAATGCTTAACTATTGAAATATTTATAAAGATTTAAAACACCTAAGTCCCTATTCAACCCCTAGTTTATGTATTTAAAGACATTGTTTCTTTTTTTCTTTCGTTTGAATTTCCCCATAAAAAACATTTGCACCATAAATGCAAACTGAAAAAGTTTCCGTTTTATATGTTTTTTTTTTTTTTTTTTCTTTAGATGTGAATGTGGAAATATCTAAAATCGGAATCTATTAATAAAACATTTGCAGTTTTTTAATAGTTATGTCCAAATTTTATTTCTAATGTTTAGCTATGTTTCCGCACCAACACCAATATCAGGATACAGCCACTAACCTCACCTGCGATACCCATAACGTAATCTGTTATTTATTCTGCAACTTATGTCCTAATAGTGGATATATTGGTGAGTCTGGAAACAATTTTAGATTTCGTTTTAATAACCATAAACAAACAATACGTCAAAAAAAACAACCCTTATTCCCCATAGCTAAACATAGAGGAAAATACCTTTTAAAATATAACACTATCTTATCTATATTTCTAAGATGAGTTATGTTTTTTGTTGTGGGTTATGTACTGATTATTCAGACTATTGTCCTAGGTATTTTGTTTTAATTTACTTTGCCACATTATATTATAACATATAAATGTTTCAGTCCCTCATTCAGTATCTGTCAATATTTCTGAGATGAAGCGGACAACTATTATGTTTCACATTATTTATATTATTCGGACTCATTGTCCATTGATCTTTAAACAAGTTGCCACATTTTTTATAACCTTTCAGATGAGCCTTTTGTTCAGTATCTGTCTATATTTTGAGATGAGGCATTAATTATCATCCTCATGGACATTTTTATTTACAAAATTATTCATCTTCAACTATTTTTACATGTGGATCTTTTTTTTATCGCATATTTATTACAACGTTTGTGGAATTTCTTTTTGCTGAGATGATGAATTATATATATTATTTTATATATATATATATATATAGGACTATTGTCTGCAAAACTTTGTCATCATATTTTCTTGATTTGATGGCAACGTTTCCTTAGCCTTTCAGTATCTGTCTATATATTTAAGAACTGAGATATCCGACTGTAGGTTATGATACACTATTTACATTATTTGGACTATTGTTAGTCATTTTATCTTTGTTGCTATTTTTATTACAATATTTTTAAGCCATAAAAAAATTAATATAAAAAGTATGCACGGAAGAATATCACTTCTTCATGGTGGTTTAACTAACATACTTTTCTGGAATGTCGAACTAGAACCCCTTTATTTTTTTTATCTCACTGGCATACACTCTTCTAGTTCGAATGCCATGTTTAATGGATATCAGTTATCAGTTATCTCCTGTTAATTTTGTTGCCTCTGAAAGTTCTCTATCTGCCTTAACCGGGTACTGAACTCACACTGTTTGGGTCCTTTTATAACTGGATCTAACTGAGATGAGTATTATGGACATTATTTACATTATTCAACAGGAAATTAACTTTCTGAGGAGATAACTGACATTACACATCCATTAAACATGGCTGTCTACGAGATGGAACTATTTACATTATTTGAATTGTCCTTATCTTTGTCTACCACAGTGAGCGAAATAAAGGGCATCACTCTTCTAGTTCGACATTCCATATCAGTTATCAGTTATCTCCTGAAGAAAGCTCTAGCCTTAACGGGTACTAACTCAATGGCCTTTTAAACTAACTGTAATAAATATGGCAACAAAGATGAGGACAATAGTTCGAATAATGTAAATAATGTTTTAAAGTAGTGCTTGTAAAAAGAGCAATAATAGCAAATTTTATTTCTGAATCTGCTAATTTTGGCAATCTTTACAAGAAAAACACATAGCTATTCAATGCTTTCATAACAGTTTATATTGTTTATAATCTGGGCAATAACATTTTTTTCAGAATGTACCTCTTGTCACTCTGTTTTCTCTGATGCTCTATATGTACCTAAATATCGTCATTGACGCCTGCTCACATTGGCATCATCATCATCCTCTCTACTTATTTCCTTTCTACCTTCTGGTGGCAGTGGTGGAGATGGCTGTTAAGCCCCAGCCTATTTTTTTTAAAGCAATTCACCCCAAGCAAGGTGGGAGTGCCACTAGCACGCAAGGGGTTACAGAGGATTGAGAACAAAAGTAAAGAGGCATGTTTAAGGAAAGGATACAGAGAAGGATGGGGAACAAGCTCAGGGTGTCAGATGTCGATTGACATTACACTTGAATATTAGAAGATTATAGTCATCGAGGAAGCAAAAAAGAGGAAGAGAGTTCCACAGATGGGAAGTGCGAGAAAAGAAGCTATTTGAGTAGAAGAGATGGTTACATTTAAACATTTTGACAGTGAAAGTGTGGAACCGAGATGCCAGCCTGGTAGCTCGCTTAAATTCATGCAGTCTAGGAACCAGTGAAAGTAGCTCATCAGAATAGTTGCCATGAAAATAGTTATAGAAAAGACCGAGGGAGGCCATGGCACATCTGTGGGATAGTGATTGTAGACTAAATGCCAGATCAGGACCTATCATATTGCATATTCATCTCTAGATTTTGTCAAGGACCTCAAGATATATAGTGGGAGCTATTACCGAAAAGCAGGAGTCACAGGAAGGCTGATTTGTCTCAGGGTATATACTGGCATGTGTCAGGGATGTCTTTAACTTATACTTGAAGTGTCATGTTGGGCCTCTGCGTAACTTCTTGCTACTGACTAATTCTCCAAACAGGATAATACATGGGAGTAGAGTAGGACACATTCTGGACATGTGACCAATCCATCTGAGATGATTTTGAAGGATGGGAGCCTTGATGCTGGAGAGACATGTCCGAGAGAGGACCTCCTTGTTGGCGATGCACTACTCCCAACTGAGACAAAGGATTAATCAAAGCTTTGTTTCCTGGAACCATTCCAGATTTTTGATGTTCCAATGACACAAAGTCCAGGTCTCACAAGAGTACAGAAGGGTGGAGAGGATCACGATCAAGAAGACCATGATTTTAGTTTCAGGCTGATTACTGAAGAACCTGTGTTGCATACACAGTATTAATCACTTTGTTCCTGTTGTCAAGGTCTCTCTCACAGGTGACATTATTTGAGGTGATGCTGCCAAGATAGAAAAATTCAACAAATTCTACTGGCTGTCCATTGATGTTGATGTTGACATCCAGCATTGCTTGTCCAGGGGCCAGCTGGATGAGGACCGTTGTCTTTTTGACATTGACCTGTGTCCTGAAGAGCTAAATATATGTACCTTAATATATATTCCCTTATAATAACCTAAAACATGGATCAGTGATTTACAGAATAGACAATAAAAAAACTGCCCCAAGAAATACACTGGTGAAACTTCTAGGAATTTAAATAATAGAATATAGGAATACAAAGAGGAATTTTTACAAAAAATGCACTTATTCAGCTATCTTCAT